GGTTATAAAGAACAAGTTCTTAAGTTTAACTTACCTTCATTTTGGTCTGTCTCAAGCTGTAAAAAATCCAAGACTGTAAATCTCGAGGCCATTGATTAGAGGAGGAAGAGATGAATTACCGGTCACGGTGAAAGTGAAATTGAATTTTCCATCAGGAGAACTCACAGCTCTTGGATTGTATATTATTGTTGTGCTTAATTTTGAAGGTCTAAAGAAGTCATACCAAAGTAAGCCACCATTGTAAGTAATGTTGAATTCTCTGATCTGATTAGCTTCAAGATTTTGGATTTCGGCGAAATGCATGTATATATATGATTGTGCAGTGATGTTATTGAGGATCCAATCTAAGTTTAGAGTTTGGCTAGCATTTGTAGGGATCATAGCGGTTTTCGCATTGATGAGGCAGAAAAATTTTATTAATGGCGAAACTGCCATTAATGAGGCAGAAAAATTTTTCCGCCAAAAGCGAATAAGTCTATCGTTCATGTGATGGTAGATTTATTTACGAGTGATAGATTTATTAAGTGGTTGGTAGACTTATTGATGGTTGGCGCGATGGTAGACTTATTTATAGAAGTGGTAAATTTATAATATTGTGGTAGACTTATTTGTAGTAGTGGTAGAGTTAATTGGTAGACTTATTTCTTGTGGTGGTAGAGTTAAGTTTGTGATCGGTAGACTTGTTGATGGTTTGCACTATGGTAGACTTATTTACAGTAGTGGTAGATTTATTTTGCAATGATAGACTTATTAGCAGTGGTGGTAGAGTTAATTTTGTGATCGGTAGACTTATTGATGGTTCGCGCAATCGTANANNTATTTATAGTAGTGGTAGATTTANTTTTGAGTGATAGACTTATTAGTAGTAGTGGTAGAGTTAATTTTGTGATCGGTAGACTTATTGATGGTTCGCGCAGTTGTAGACTTATTTATAGTGGTGATAGATTTATTTTTGAGTGATAGACTTATTAGTAGTAGTGGTAGAGTTGATTTTGTGATCGGTAAATGGTTCGCACAATGGTAAGACTTATTTATAGTTGTAGTAGATTTATACAATGTGGTAGACTTATTTGTAATAGTGGTAGTTTTAATTTTGTGATCGGTAGACTTATTTGTAGTGATGGTAGAGTTAATTTTGTGATCGGTAGACTTATTGATGGTTCGCGCAATGGTAGACTTATATATAGTGGTGGTAGATTTATAAATTGTGGTACACTTATTGATTGTAGTGGTAGATTTATTCAATCTTTTCACTTGTTTACTAAAACAATCTTCTGTTTTTAGTAGACTTGGTAGACTTGTTGACATTGGTAGAGTTTTTGAGTTTTAGATTGCATTGGTAGACTAGTTTGGCTATTGGTAGACTTGTTCGGCTATAATGAGTTACGATAGACTTTATGTTTTGATAATAGATTTGTTTTTCAATATTGAATGACGATAGAGTTGTTTCGATTGCAATGG